GTTACATCCTCTTTTTAAAAAAGCGTAACTGACTAGCTTCAAAACGCTCTTCCGTGCAAATACAACTTATTGAAGATTACTGCACTGGGCTTGAGGCCGGAGCCTCATTCTTCAGAATACTCATGTCAATTAAATTGTTGTCTCCTGTTAGCGCGGTTTCATATTTGGCAAGCCAAAATGGATGAAATATCGCCTAATTTTGCAAATTTTTTACGCCTAGTTACATCAAGATCTATTATAGAGAAAAAAACAGGGAACACTAAAAAATGGAACTTTCTTACAGATTGCTCTTAATATAGCTCTTGATATCGATTGTTTCCTTTCCCTGACGGTCAAATACCAACAAATATTTTGAAAGAATTGTAGAATCTTGTATTTAACAGGACGTATCTGACTGACTGTACACAATCAACGTTTGTTTATTTCTCCCGTCTTTTTTAGGTAGTCGAACTGTACTTTCTTTAACCTTTTTTTTGTTCGTTTTTGTTTGTGTTGTAATTTAGTTATTATTAATAAAATAAAATTTAAATAAAGCAAAAATCCAGGCTTAACAAACAAGTTTAGGTAAAAAGAGCTGTTGAAAGAGGGCTAGTAAGCAGTAGATCGTGAGAATGTATTATTTCATGTTTAGCTTGCGAAGAATTATAGGAAAGAAAAACTTAGGGTCCGGACGATAAGGCGTCCAGAAAATGAGGCGAGATACTGTACATACACATGAATCTGGTTTCCAGCTCAGGCTCTCAGATAGTCGAAAAGAGTAAAAACCAAAAAATTCAAAAACGTAACATAAACGCCAAACCGATAAACGCGCGACAATAAGACATGCAGTGGAAGGGTGGAACTGAATGGTTAGAAACATGCTAACCATTTTCGTTGGTGTGGCGAAACTGATACGTATGGGACTCAGTATTAAGACACAAAAACGTCAAATGGTTGGAAAAAAAAAGGCACCAAATGATAACTGGCCATGAATAATACTTTATCAGAATATTCATTGCCATTTGCCATTTGATTAATTTTCAATTCAATTAAAAATGGAAAAAAGAGTCAATTACTCTTTACGTTTCTCTTAGGAAACCCGTTGTCACAGTGGGTCATCGAGGATTACGTGGTTCGAGAAGACAGTTCAAAACGTCTGGGTTTTTTTTGCCAGAATAAGGCCTTTTAGTTTTTATTTAAACGGTGTTAACAGATTTGAACTTACAGGAATTCTTTACGAATTCGTACGTAATATCTTCCAAGCATTTATGACTTTTCTCAAGTTAAAATGTCTTTGAGAGATTTTCCTCTTATTTCCGATAAAAGAGGAAGATCTTGTCAAATGGCAGGATGATTCCTAGTTTTGATGATTATCTTAAAGGTCAAATGAACCAAAAAATTGACATATTTTCTTTCATCGCTTTACCTTCACCAAACACTAAAAAGAACCATCCTAAGTGAGATTTGGGTAAATATTTTTCTTCCCAAGCCTTTATAGAAAGATAAAAGATCAAAATCCGAGCATTTCCGAAGACTCACGAAAACGTTTCTGAAATGGCCGCGTGATAGACTGGAGACTACGTGATGTCCGTGACGTCAGTGTTGGTCTTTCAAGGCGGAAAAACGTTCTGCGCAAGCTTCTGCGCATCCCTTAACGCCTGCGTTTGTTTCGCTCCATGTAAGGGAATCCAGGACAGTCTTGGATTCTGGATTCCATGCTGTGGATTCTGGATTGGGGGTAATGGATTCCGGATTCCAGCATAGTGGATTCCGGATTCCAAAAAGAGCTGGATTCCATTTTTTTTCCGGTTTTAATGCTTTTCTTCCCACTTCGTTTCGTGTTCGAATCTTGGTATATTGTAAGACGTTGTTAGAAGGCATAACAAGTTTGTTTTCTTTTTCGATTACAAAATTACGGGAAGAAATGTACAGTGAAACCTGTATTAAGCGGACACCGTATTAAGCGGACACCCTCTTTTAAGCGGACAGTAGCCGAAGTCCCCAAATTTATTTCCCTTATTTACTTTAAATGAAACCTTTATTAAGCGGACACCTCTATTAAGCGGACGCGGACACCTAAAAAGTACCTGAAATGATCATTTCTATTGTTGCCAACCTGTATTAAACGGACACTTGTAATTAAATTCCACGACCCAACATGCCAGACACCGGAAATGCGAAAGATTTCCACCCACAAATTTTTCGATTTTTACAATAGAAAACGTGACTTGACGAACTTATTTGATTAGTTTCACAGTACACTATTGTATTCTATTTCGTTTAGTTTCTGTAGAGCTTGTTTCACTCATCTGAGTTCTTCAAATTTGAGTTGCAATCTGTGTTTATGGTACTATGATCAATTGGTCCTCTTTAATAAAGAAATTAATGCAAACGTATATCGTCATAGTCTCTGGGAGTATTATAAACGTTTCCACTGTCATTTGAATGGCATTTGACACCTCATATGACGTTATCTATCGAAACCTGTATGTATTAGGCGGACACTACAGCATTCCCCGAGGGTGTCCGCTTAATACAGGTTTCACTGTATTACAGTTCCTTAAGGGTTCATGGTATAATAATTAGGGGGACATTGGGGGACTGTCTACACCGCAACACCGCAGAAAAAAATAACAAACACCGCATCACCGCAAGAAAACGTAGCGAAACACCAACATCGCAATTTAAAGTTTTGTCCTACGATTAATCTAATCCAAATCTCCATGTAATTGGGGATGGAGGATCTCGGAGCTGGTTAGTGATTAGTAGAGAGTGAGACTGACCTCAGGACTCTATTTTTCACTTAGTCTACTTTTGTGAACTCTGTTTTCAGCCATGCTGATAGAAAAATGCATGCAACGCCCAGGTTTCGCCTGTCATCCTTTTGTTTTGAAGTCTTTTTGTATAAAAAGACCATGCAGATCATCCTTCCCTCCGGGTATGAAAAAGCAGTGAAATATTTATTATTTAATCAATTTTAACCGACGTTCCTAGTAGGGTGGAACTTGTTTTGGGTCTTTGTGGATCTTTTGTCTATTAGTTTTGATCGTTGTGGATCATTTAGGTCGTTTTGGTTCATTTTGCCTGGCTTCTCGTTTTATTAGTTACTGGCCAAAAAAACATACGCTGTGGCGTGTGCAATTCATTCTTTGCAAAGTCTTTGGTTCTGTTCACTTAAGAGTAGTTTTCCGTCTCAATAAAACTTGGAAAACCATTTTTATCTTATCTTTTGAGACTTTTATAAAACTCTTTCTCCGTGTCAATAAAGACTTTTGAAGAGGGTAAAAAATTCTCGCGTAGAAGTTGACGCGTACTGCTTTGAGGTTTTAGCGAGCACAATGATAATGAAATTCAAACTAACTGTCACGTTGAATTTGATGTTAAAAAGAACAAAAACAACAAAAAATTCGTTTGTTCATACTTAAGATGTGCGTATAACCACGTTTTGTTAGAAAAAAAAACTTCACGGCCCTTTCAAATTCGTTGTTTAACACGTCGAAAATTGAGGATTTATTTCGAGCATGCGCTCTTTCATCGCCTGTCGCATTCCTGACAGGCAATAATCGAGTTTGACCAGATCTCGCCTTCGGCTTCGTCAATAAGAGATCTGGGTCTCTGAGATAGTCTGGGGTCTCTAGGATCGATTTCAAACAAAAAAAGTAACGGGCTCAACTGATCTCAAATCGGTCTAATTTCCAAAAGCGACCTCAATGTGAACGAGGCCTATTCAGGAGCACAACTGGAGAAAGAAAACAGGAAAAATCCGTCTGCTCCTGGACCGAGCCTGAGATGACTGAGAGATTAAGAGAGACTTGGGCGTTTCTGACGCGTTGGCTCGTTTTTAGCGTTTTACAACCATATAGCGCTCATTTATACGATATTTTATCCACGGGCGACGTAAACTTCGTATCACATTCAATTACGATTGAAAAAAAAATCAATCTTTCGTTCATGTTTGTGATTTGCTTATCGCAGCCTTACAGTCCACAGATCGACACAAACGAAAACTCATGCAGCTTTGCCTTTGGCACGTTTAGAGCTATCAGTCAGCTAAAAATTGGTATAAAATTTCACAACACAGTATTACACGTACCTTTCTCTCTCAGCCTTTTGTTTTGCTTGTCCTTTCCCATAACCTTTTTTTCTTAAATAACGTAGAAAAGAAAAATCCAAACAGACAACAAACTTCAAACTCGTCTCATCTATGACTGCTATGAGGTGGCGAGATTTCACTCAAATGCCGGGGATGAATGAAAAAGACACCCACCGCGTCCTTGCACGTGATTACCTTAGTGACAGCTGATTGATGCGGTTCTGACAGTGCCTAGCTTATTTCTCAAATAAAGATTATCGAAACCATGAAACTGTTATCACCGAAAGGTTGAAGCTATTCACAACAATCCAATTTATACCTTAAAAAGGCTGCGCTGTATTCCCTCGAAAACCCCCGAATTTTGTGATCCTGCCAGCTGCTCATAAGCAAGGGTTCCCTCGCTGACCGTGACCTTGACCTTTCATATGGAGCTCGTGAACTATGGTTTTGACACCAGATATGCCGATATTACACTGTATGTCATCACGTTGAGGCATATACCCTGGGGAGGCTTTCCATAGATGGTTTTTCTTTCGAGCGAGTAGCTCAATTTAATCTGGAGTGGATCATTAGTAAGTTGGATTCTGGATTCCAATCTTTAGTAGGATTTCGGATTCTTAGTGCTGGATTCCGGATTCCAAAGCCCAGGATTCCGAATTCCACAAGCAAAAAATTCCTGGATTCCAGAATCCGGATTCCCTTACATGGGGCGATTTGTTTGTCTCGTTCTGTGAGAGTCCTTTTTTGTTTTTGTTGTTTTTTCGTCACTTGAAAATTACTTTGGATTCAGAACAACCAATGTTAGGGTAAAAACAGATCATTCTGTCAGTCTGAGGTGGAATAAAACGTTTTGAACATTTCCAAAAAGGTTTGTATTTTTCTGATAATTGTGCATTCGATTTGTGAGTTGATTTTGTGTCCAGTGCTT